TTTTGGATTTCAGATTCAGGGCTTAGAAAGGCTCAAACTGTATTGACCTGTGTAATAATTTGAAAAGATGGTTCCCTGTTTATAAAACCATAAATAAATATCAAGAATTACAAATAAACAAAATGCTTAAGGTAGTAGGAGGAAAATGCAGTTTTTTGTGGTATTAAATCAGAAAAGCCTACTTAAATATATAAAGCCCAGAACTTGTATGAAGAAGAATGAGTTTATACATAACAGTTTTAAAGTTTAGCCAAAAACAAAGTTGCATATAAAGTCACAAGTTAAAAAAGAAAGCCTAGGGGCTACAGCAGTGGCTCAGCAGTTAAGAACATGGGTTGTTCTTGCAGAGGACCCATATTCAATTTCCACCACCCACATGGTGGCTACCAACCGTCTGTAACTCCAGTTCCGGGGGATCTGACAGCCTCTTCTGCTCTTCTCGGGCATTGCATGACATGGGTGCACTTACACGCATGCAGGCAATACATGCATTCACATAAAATAAAAATGATAAAATATTTTTAAATATTTCTTAAAAAAGAAAACTTGAAAAGATAATATTACATGACTAGTTATGAAAAATATTAATTAATGTAAAAGAATCAACTTACTATACTAGAAACATTTGTTTAGGTTAAAATGAGGTGTCATTTTTTTTCCCTATCAAATTTAAAAAAACAAAAGTTGAATAGCAAATGTTACAGGATCTGGTGAAGGACATGTTCTCTCCACCCACCCCCCAATTTGTTCACTTTTTACCTGGATCCTATTTTCTAATTTCTTTGTATGTCTGCATCACCTTTATTGAAAGGTAGGTATGAGGGATAGTACATTGATGAGGCTTCTGAGTGCTGGTTTTCACTTTATCCACCAATTTAAATTATCAGTTGATCATTTTGAATTTGGTTTGGTTTTGTGAGGAGGATCTATGGAAAAGCTATGTTGTTTCCTAGGCCCCTGTGACTATTTAGTGCAAACTCTCCCCAGAAGATGTTATAAGGGCTTGGTTTTGAATTTGTTAGGATAAGTGTAAAGTTAATTCTTATTCTTGAGCAAAAACAGCCTTTTTTAGGAGTCTTAGTTGGCTGCCAGGGCAGCTGGAGTGGTCTGACTCCAGCAGAACTGAAATCCAGCATCTTGATCCATGTTCCTCACTGTTTCTTATGTTCCTCATTCAGTCCTATGGTAGTGGCTGTTAAATGGCAAGTCATGGGTCTTACCTAACACATGTATGTGTCAGCCAATCTGCATGCTTTACAGAAGTTCTACAAGGAAACTTTTCTTTAAATGATCTCTAAGGACAACATGCTTATATCAATTTGTCCTGTCAACCTTACTTCTCACCTTAAGAACTATTTTAAATTCTCATAAACATGTATACCTTAATGTATCTGAATACTGGCCATTACTTTATTAAAACTTTTTGCCAGGCATGGTAGCACCGTGTAATACAACATGTAATACTTGTAACATCAGTCCTTGGGGAGGCTGAGGCATGAGGACGCTGCGAGTTCAAGACCAACCTTGACTACATAGTGAATTCAACTCTAGCCTGGACTATATAGACTCTACCTCAAGCAAACAAACCAAACAAAAAATTTAATACCTTTAGGTACCTTTTAATAACTTTAGATCATTTTATAACCACACTTGAAAAATACTCTCTTCTTACATGCTAATAGGCATTTTATATGTCCATATATATTTAATACACACTCCTGACTTTACAAAAAAGTTTCCATTTACTGCTTTCCTATTATTTGTTCAAAAACTTGACCTGCCGCTTGATGATATATAAGTTCTATACCAATAGTGATGCTAAGAAGGGTTTGTCTGGGAGTAAATTTTCCTTGTAATTCTTTTAGAAACCATAGAATTTAAGAACTGAATATAAAATATTTTTTCCCGCCTTTTCATGATCACTTATGAGGGCATTAATGCTTATTCCATTTGCTAAAGATTACTTAGCTAGTCAGTAAAAGAGTAATAGCTAGTATCTAAATATCAAGGCAAACCTACACGATTCTCTCTCTGTTTGGATATAAATGATCCATTGTTCTCCTAGCCTCTTCTTTTCCAGCGTACTCAGTTTTCCAGAACAAAGAGGCAGATATAGAAGTAACAGAATGATGGTGAGGAGAAGGGTGAAGAACCTTTTCTGCTCCTTCCTTTTATCCTACCTTCCCCTGTGTTTGAGGAACACTTCAGGCTAATGAAGTTAGGATGGTCTGAATTATAGTTGAATCTAGTTTTGATTACTGAAAGCATTTTCCTCATGTTACCTGTGGAGAGTTTCTTTTTTAAGCCCAGTCTTCTTTCTCAGGTGAAGGATAAGTCATCTAGGACTGGTCTCTTCCCCATAGAAGACTTCAGGGGCTCTACCTTGTTCTTCTCGTTTTCTACCATTATCCATACTAACCTTTTGGTTTTATGATAGATCAGCCTTCACGTTTACACTTGTTTTCCCTAGTCTCTTCCCTTTTCTTTGTGGTTTCAAAATTGGACTATGTAGACCCCTTTGTTGTTATCAATAGTTTGGTATTATGGAGCCTGGGAGATGGCTCATGGGGGCTGGAGAGATGGCTCAGTGGTTAAGAGCACTGGCTGTTCTTGTAGAGGATCTGGGTTCAATTCCCAGCACCCACATACCAGCTAACAACTGTCCGTAACTCCAGTTCCAGGGGATCTGATGCCTTCTTCTGCCCTTTGTGGGCGTTGCACGACATAGGTGCCCTTACACACATGCAGGCAATACACTCATACACGTAAATGAAAAATAATAAATAAAATACAGAAAATAGTTTGTTATTATGGGAGAAAGATAGGCATTAACATCAAGAAAAGTTCTAAACCCTAAGAAGTAGGATTTTTTTGTGTGTGTGTCTTTTTGAGACAGGGTCTCCCTGTAGCTCCAGCTATCCTGGAACTCACTGTGTAGACCAGGCTGGCCTTGAACTCACAGAGATCCGCCTGCCTCTGCCTTGAAGTAGGATTTTTAAAAATTACTGTGCTTGGTTTAAGGGTGATTTATTTGCTACAGTTGTAACTGAGGGCCAGCTTGTTGGATTTTTCTTCTCAGTTGCTCATCCCTCAGTAATGACCTCATAAAAGCCATGGGACTCCTATACTAATATGCTTACTTTAATTTTTGTGGTTCTATAGAAAATAAAGGATTCCACTTTTGAAGATTGGAAGAATATTCGAGGCCCGAGGCCATGGGAAGATCCTGACCTCCTCCAAGGACGAAACCCAGAAATTCTTAAGACAAAGACAACCTGACTGCTTGTTATTTGTTTCTAATAAAATGTTACCAATTGGACTTGTAGCTCAGTAGAAAGAGTATCCCGGACCTGCGCAAACCTGGGTGTGAAGAATTTGATGGCCAATAACGCTGATTAAAAAAAAAAAAAAAAAAATCACGTGCCCGGCGTGGGGGGGCAGGCCTGTAGCCCCAACCCTTGGGAGGCAGAGGCAGGCAGATCTCTGTGAGTTCAAGGCTAGCCTGGTCTACATAGTGAGTTCTAGGACAGCGGGGAGACCCTGTCTCAAAAAGACCAAAAAAAAAAAAAAATGAAATAACAAGTCTTTATACTTTATAGCCAGGCCACTGGTAGTAAAAATAGCCATGCTGACCTCTCAATAGAAATATGACCACTGCCAGGGAAGTGCCATGCATGCCACTCTCCAGCTACCCACTTGAATTCTTTTCCCACCTGCCACAGGACATTTTGCTGCTTCATTTTGATTTCTAATGAAAACTCCTTAGGCTTGAGTCCAAATTCTCCCAGTATTTTACTGGAGTAATTTTATGTTAAACCTATGGAAGAAAATAAGTGATCACAATCTAATGACAGTTTGGGCTTTATTCAGAACCTCAATAAGACTCTAAAGCTACTGAACCTTTAAGGAAATTATATGGCTTGTAATAATATAATTTATATGTAATACATGATTGTAATCAGAGGTGACAGATCTGTTGAAGTAATGCAGAGATGACTATGTTCTATGCCTTAGCATAGTTTGGAAGTTGATTCTAGCTTTTTAGCTTTTTTTTTCAGATCCGCTCTAATATGATTTTTAAGTAAAATGACAGGGAAGTAATTTTCATTTTTTTAAATTTTAACTCATTTTATCCCTTTTCATCCCATCTTAGGCAGGGCCTTGTGTAATTTTCATGCTGAGTTCTAAAGTTTCAGCTGAAATGTTCTCCTGTTAATTGCCCCCTACATCACAAAACCATCCCCACCTTTCCCTCAATCAAAATTTTAATTTCAACAGGTTAACTTTAGTAAAAAACAAGAGTAAGCAGATTATCTAGTAGTGATAATTTACAGTAGTGATGATTCAAAAGAGTTATCTGGAGAAGCAGTTGGGTTTTATGGGAAACAAAAGAACCTTTACTGAAACCTCATTCCTACAACAAGTAACTCAAAGTAGATTATTGATTTAAATCTAAAACATAAAACCACAAAGCTTTTAGGGGGAAAAAGAGCAGAAAGTCATTAGTCTTAATTGAAGAAATAGTTCATAAAAAAAAGTTCTCACCAAAAAAGTTTAAAAAAGAAAAAAGTGACAAATTGAACTCATCAAAATCATACTTTTCCTTCCTAAAGACTGCTAAAAGTATGAAAAGAAACCTATAGTCTTAGAAAAAGTATTGATAAACAGTGTATCTGATTTAAAAAAAGACTTATCAAAATATAAAAAGTCAGAAAATAGTAAAATCCAACTAGGACATAGGCAGAGGCCCTCGGTACTTACTGACAAGGACAGATAGCAAAACGAGCACATGAAGAGAACACTGGGCATCATCTGCCGTTAGGAACATGTTTGAATACACTGAGCTACCCCTTCAGGCTCACACCTTGCTCTTACCATGTTAAATGAACAACCAGTTTGCAAAGTTGCTGTTTCTTCAAAAGCAACATGAGAGATTTCTGGTTCCTAATTTAACATGAAACTGGAAGTTGTTACTCCCTTTCTAACAAGGAAAGAAAGCCAAAAGGGTAAAAATCAACTTAGTTTTGATATATCAGAGAGTTGAAGTCACAGGACAAACCACCAGCCTGAAAAATATAGACAGATAATCACAGTTTTCCTGGAGGAGAATCTGTCCAGAAACCACCACTGGACCTAGCATCAGGTAGACTACTCCAAGGATAATTGGCAAATGATTGGAAACCAAAAATAAGTTGCTTTCCTACATAACCAGCTATGAAAAATTGGAATTGGATTTTTTTTTCCTTTTGGTCTTTTTGAGACAGTCTCCCTGTAGCCCCAGCTGGCCTGGAGCTCACTATGTAGATCAGGCTGGCCTTGAGCTTACAGAGATCCACCTGCCTTTGCCTCCTGAGTGCTGGGATTAAAGGCATGTGCCACCATGCCTAGTGGGAATTTGAAATTTTAAAAAAATATGTAATTTGCATTAATACCAAAACAAAAACCCCTTGGCATAAATCTATCAAAAATGTATAAGATTTATATGAGAAAAACCTATACACCTCTAATGGAGTATAATTAAGGAAGAGCCAAAAAGATGGAGATTCTATGTTCATGGATAGCTTCTCAACTTGACCCATATATTTAACACAATCTCAGTAAAATTTCAGGAACTAACTGTGGATATCAACAAACTGATTTTAAAGTTAGCATGAAAAGAACTGGCTTGGGAGATAGCTCAATGGGTTAAAAGCATTTAATGTAAAAGCAAGAAGACCCAATTTCTAATCCCCAGCACCTAGGTAAAAAGCAGTCCATGGGCTCATGTACCTGTAACTCCAACATTGGTGGGTCCTGGGAGCTCACTGACCAGCCAGTCTAGCTGAAACATCAAGTTTCAGGTTCAGTGAGAAACCCTATCTCAGAGGGGAGTGGAGGTGGTGAGACTTTCAACATATTCCTTTGGCCTTTGCCTGTGTGCACACACATATATGCATACACCACACCCCAAACAGTAAGTAAAAAGGAAGATATCATAGTGATTCATCAAATAGAAAATATCTTTTTAAAACAGAAATTACAAAAAATTATAGATCTGCAAAGTACATGGACCAAAATGAAAATTTTACTAGAGGCTCAAGAGTAGTTTCGCTGACAGAACAGAGAATTGAGTAACTTGAAAACCAATAGATATTATGCAGTATGGAGAAAGGAAAAAGAACAATAAACTCAGTTGTCAGACCCCAGTAAGTGTGTTGAGCCTACTTGTGAAGAGTAATGGAGACAAAGGAGCAGCAAATCATTCAAAGAATTAGTGGCTAAAGACCCCCAAATTTGATGAAAAAAAACTAAAAATAAACCTCAGGTAGGACAAATGCAAAAAGTTCTAAACCCAGAAGTAATCATGTTGAAGTATTGCAAGAGAAAGAAAAATCTTGAAAACAAGGAAAACAATGAAGTGGATTCTTATCAGATGCAATGGAGACTAGAAGACAAGTGTATTAGTACTTTTCTGTTACTGTGATAAAACACTGACCAAGGGAACTTATAAGAAGAAGAGTTTGGGGCTGGAGGCTCAGCAGTTAAGAACACTGCCTGTTCTTGCAGAAGACCCGGGTTCGAATCCCAGCACCTACATGGCAATTAACAACTGTCTGTAACTCCAGTTCCACGGGATCTGACAGCCTCTTCTGTCCTCCGCAGGCATTGCATGACATAGGTGCACTTACCTACATGCAGGCAATACACTCATACACATAAAATAAAAATAATAAAAAAAGAAGAGTTTATTTAGCTTACAGTTCCAGGGGAATTAGAGTCTGTCATGGCAGGGAGGCATGGTTGCAAGAGGTGACTGCAGCAGGAGCAGAAAGTAGAGGCTCACATCTTCAAGCAAGCACAGGAAGCAGAGCATGACTAGAAAACCCGAAAGGCTTAAGAACTCAAAGCCCACCCCCAGTGATATGCTTCCTCCAGCAAGGCAATACCTTTTCAGACCTCTCAAAACAGCACCACCAACTGTGGACAAAAGGTCCAAATACTTGGGGAATATTCTCATTCAAACCACTACATTCTACTCCCTGGCCCTGACTGGCTCATAACCATAAAATGCAAAGTGCATTTAGTCCACCTTCAAAAGCTCCCATAGTTTTTACCAGTTTCAATACTATTCAAAGTTCAGAGTCTAAAGTCTCTTCTGAGACTCAAGACAATCTCTTAACTGTAAGCCCCTGTAAAATCAAAAGACAAGTTACATACTTCCAACACACAATGGAACCAATAGACAGCCCCATTCCAAAAGGGTGGAATGGGGGTATAGTGAGGAAATACTGGACCAAAACACAACTGAAATCCAGCAGGGAAAACACTACATCCTGCAGCTCCGTATCCGACAACTGGGATATTACTTCCAAAGGGCTTAGATGCTCAGCCTCTCCAGCTTTGCTGCATGCAACGTACGTCTCTCTCTTGAGTTGGTACCACTCCTTGCATGTAGCTCCTTGTCAGATGTCTCATAGCTCTGCAATCTCGAACATCTTCTTAGGGTCTCTACTGCCAACTAGGCTTCACCTTCACAGCTTCACACAATGGCCTATCAGGGCCTCTTGTCCTATCGGGGTCTTCTTTATGCAGGGATGCCCCTGCTGCACATTGCCTGGCCTCAGCAGCTCTCTGAAACTAGAGGAAGAATAGATGACCAACCCCCTCACTCTTGCATCTTTCATGCCTCTAAAGCCAGCACCAGGTGAATGACAATTGCCAAGTTTGGCTGCAAGTTTGGGATGGATCCTGGCCTGCTTCACTTACTTTAGCAGCTTTTCTCTGCTGTGGTTTTTTTTAGGAGCAGAAAACCCCTCCAACATTTTCCTTTCTCAAACTGGAGGCTTAACTGGGTGTGGTCTTGGCCTGAAGGTACTCTTTCCATTGTTTAAATGCTAATCTCTAGGCCTCTCCTTAATCACTTTAATCTTATCAAAGGGAGCACATGCCTTGCTCCAACATTAAGCTTCCTAGTTCTCTTTTTGAATCCAAAATGTACATTCTGCATTTCTTTCTGCCCCATTTTCCCTTTTTCACTGTTGATCTGCATAATAGTCACCATTAATAGCCACACCACCATTTCTAGGTTTGGCTGTCTTGAAATATCCTCGCCAAAGAAATTAGTCCATTGCTTTTCAACTTAGCCTCAGGCAAGCTTTTTGGCTGTGGGCCGACTCCAGCCAAACTCTGCCAAAATATCCTAATTGCTGTATAAGTCCTTATTTCTCTCTGGAACTACATTGTTCTCAGCACTTCTTTCTTCCAGGCTCCTACTAGAATGGCCCATTAAGCTCTGCTTACAGCATTCAACCCCTTTTCTAGTCCAAATTTCCAAAATCTTCCACA